CCCACGAGCACCCACCCGCACCGAGGGCGCCCTGGAAGGGGGATGGCGTGCACCGACGAAGCCCTCGCAAGGGGGATGGCGTGCGCAGAGAGCTCCCTCGCGGGGGGATCGCCTCACAGGGGTCGCGTGCTTTTCGGAGACCGACGCTGCAGGCTATCTTTGCGAAGCCAACCGTAGGTACGATTGAAACAGAGGGCGTTTTTCCGTTTTGAGGATCGGTGTTTTTTCTTGGATGTGTTCGTTTGATACATCAACGATTTGGGGCGCAGTTTCGTGTTCCGTTTTCAGGTCCAGGATCGGCCCGCGACCCGCTTGCTTGCCTTCTTTTCCCGCTGCTACTGCGTTTTCGATGCGTTTTTTTCGAAATCACTCTGTCGCCTGCTCGGCGCCCACTTTCCTGGGTTTCATGTTTTAACACGTGTTGGTCGCGACTCAAGACCGAAGACTGCGCGACGGTGCACAACGCGAAAACAAAGGCTCTGCAGGAACTACTGGGATGGAGAGGCCGTGCCACACATCAGGGCGGCGAGGGGGCGCCCAAGAGGGCGGTGGTGCCCAGGGGGAGGACATCGTGGCCAGGGCCACGACATCTCCCCGGATCTCGTGGCCCCGGCGGCGAGGTCGGGGGCGTCCAAGAGGGCGGTGGTGCCCAGGGGGAGGACATCGTGGCCAGGGCCGCGATATCTCCCCAGGCATATTTTCTTCATCGCGCCCTTTGGCTCCTCCCGCCTCGTCCACCTGCATGCCTCGGGCCATGATTTGCGACCCCCGCCTCTTGGACGCCCCTTCTTAGCTGCCTCGATACGCCCGACTTGAAACGCAGCACGTACCGTGCTTGAAACGTCGGTGTCACGACGTTGCGTGTTGGCTCGGCGTATTGGCCCACGCTCTGGCGAACGCATCGCTTCAGTCCACGCGTTGAGCCTCGCATCGACACGCCACGCGCGGCGCGCTGCGGACCGCGGCCGCCCACTTCTCTCGGGCGCCCCGAGGCGAGGGGCACCGCGAGGGCAGCTGGGGCGCCAGGGAGGAGGAGGCTGAGGAGGAGGAGGAGGAGGAGGAGGAGGAGGAGGAGGCGGAGGAGGAGGAGGAGGCGGAGAGGAGGAGGAGGGTGAGGAGGAGGGGAGGCGGAGGAGGAGGAGGAGGAGGAGGAGAGGAAGGAGGAGGAGGAGGGAGGAGGAGGAGGAGGAGGAGGGGCGGAGGGAGGAGGAAGGAGGAGGGGGGAGGAGGAGGCGAGGGGCACCGCGAGGGCAGCGGGGGCGCAGGGCAGGGCGACCCCGGCCGTCGGAGCCCGCCCCGCGGACTCGCCCGACGCGCCTGTCCAGGGGGGGCGGTCCGCCGCCCGACCCGCCCGCTGGGGCCCGCGGGGCCAGCCTGCCGGGTGCAGGGAGGTGGAGTTCTTGTGCGTTCACAGGGCCACCCTCCTCCTCCTCCTCCGCCTCCTCCTCCTCCTCCTGCTCCTCCTCCTCCTCCTCCTCCGCCTCCTCCTCCTCCTCCGCCTCCTCCTCAACGCGTTCCTGCCCCCCCCCCAGGGCTGCGCACGTGCTGCCGGCCATGATTTGCGCACCCCCCTCTTGGACGCCCCCCCTCTTGGCCGCCCCCGAGGTTGGCATGACGAACAGATGCCCCCAGATGAGGTACGGTCATGCGCGAAGATGGCGGGAGTCGAGGGGTCGGGGTGCATTTCTTGAACGGCGCGCGAGCAACGAAGACCGACCAGTCTTACAATGTTTGTTGCTGCTGTCGTTGTTGTTGCTGCTGTTGTTGTTGTTGTTGCTGTTGTTGTTGTTGTTGGTGGTGGTGGTGGTGGTGGTGTTGTTGTTGTTGTTGTTGTTGGTGTTGTTGTGGTTGTGATTGTTGTTGTTGGTGTTGTTGTTGTGGTTGTTTTCGATAATATTGTTTTATTAGTCGTCTTAGCATTGTTGTGATTGTTGTTGTTGTTACTATTGTAGCTGTTGTTGTTATGGTTGTGGTTGTGGTTGTGGGTGTTGTTATTGTTGCTGTTGCTGTTGCTGTTGTTGTTGTTGTTGCTGTTGTTGTTGATGTGGTGGTTGTTGTTGTTGTTGTTGTTGTTGTTGTTGCTGGATGATGTGTTCTCGCTTATGGTACACAATCGTTGATGCTTCACGTGAACTCACTGGTCTACTGCAAACGATGCCTATGAGAGTTGCTCAGGTGAGGAGGTTGAAGGAGCAGAGGAGGATGAGGAGGATAACGCGAAAGAGCAGGAGGAAGAGGACCATGAGGGTGTGGAGGAAGAAGAGGCATCAGGAGGATGATGAGGAGGAGGAGGAGGAAGACGACGAGGAGAATGAAGAGGAGGATGAGGAGGAGGAGGAGGATGATGATGAGAGGAGGAGGCGAGGAGGAGGAGGGGGGGGGGCAGGAGGAGGAGGAGATGGAGGGCGGAGGAGGAGGAGAGGAGGAGTAGGAGGAGGAGGAGGGGGAGGAGGAGTGGGAGGAGGAGGAGGCGGAGGGAGGAGGGGTGGAGGAGGTGGAGGAGGAGGAGGATGAAAAGGAGGAGGAGGAGGAGGAGGAGGGGGAGATGGTAGCACTCGGGTCTCAGCACTCGCCCTTGGATGGACAGCCGCTGGGGACCAATACCAGGAGCCAGGTGCGCGACGCTGGCGAGGTGCGCCGCGCTCCAGCGCGCCCCAGGTGCGCCAGGCGCGCCTGGGGCCCGTGCTAAAATCGGGCACTTCCCTCTAGAGGAGGAGTATTCAAAAATAGTCAAAACTAGTATGGGGACGATTTTTGGGGGCAGCTTCGGTAATTTCTTGGAATATTTTCGGACAATTTTCTATTTTTCGTCCAAAATCCGACTGAAGGGGGACGCCCGACCTAGGCCCAAGCCTGCCATGCGCGCTGGGTGCGCCAGATGCGCCACGCGCTCCACGTGCGCCAGTGGCAGCACACATCGGGAAACACGTCGGCCCCCCACCATCCCTGTCAGAAGGCAGTGCAAAACAGCAGCGGGGTGGCCATCATGATGTGCGGCATGTGCATCAGCAATCACTTTGCGTCGGTGGCTTTACAGGGACCGTGTGCCCGCGCACAGCAGACCAATTGAGGCCACCCCTACCGTCCTTGAAAACAAAACAGTACAACGTGATCGCCGGTCGCTGGCGCAAGGTCCACGCTTTTGCCGCACAGTGTATTTGTTTGTGTGTGTTGGCTGGGACAAGGATGGTGGGTGGGGTTCGGCATGGTTCCTAGTTTGTCGCCGGTCGGGCGAGGGAAAGGGAGTGTTCCTTCCCCAATGAGGTTTGCCCACGGTGTTCTCACATGTTTTTATGACATCAGTCGGTGGGTGCGATGCCCTTGGTCAGAGGCGGGGCCTGGCCATTTGCTTGGCATTGCGTGGCGTTGCTTGGTATTGCCAGGCATTTCTCGACGTTGGCTTGGCATTGCCTGGCGTTGCCCCGCACGACAAGCAACGCATGAAGCAATGCCAAGCGACGCAACGCAAGGCAATGCCAAGCAATGCCAAGCACTACTGAGCAACGCCAAGCACTGCCAAGCCAACGCCGAGCTTTGCCATGCATTACCAGACAACGCCAAGTAATACCAAGCAGCGCAAGGCAATGCCAAGCAATTGCCAGCAACGGAAAGCAGCGCCCCGCGTTGCCAAGCAATGCCAATCAACGCAAAGCAATGCCAAGTATTACAATGCCAAGCCAACGCCGAGCAATGCAAGGCAATACCAAGCAACGCCGAGCAATACCAAGCAACGCAATTTAACGCCACGCGATTCCAAGCAACGCAAAGCGATGCCAAGCAATGCAACGTTAACGCCAACCAATGCCCAGCAATGCTCCACATTGTATTGCTCTACTTTGATCAGAACCGTTCTGACTTGTTTTGGAGGAGATAAGACCCCCTATTGGGATCGCGCAGGTTACGTGGAGAGAGATACATCCGTGCCCGACTGTCCAGAGGTCTGGTGGGATCACTGTTGGCCCCCCCGCTGGCTGTGTTTTCCACAACCATCCTGCGGTGTTGGGTCCTCGGTTTGAGGAGACAGCGCCCCGCATCCCTCCGTCTTCTCCTCCTCCTCTTCTCTCCTCCTCCTCCTCCTCCTCCTCCTCTTCCTCCTCCTCCTCCTCGTCCTCCTCCTCCTCCTCCTCCTCCTCCTCCTCCTCCTCTCCCTCCTCCTTGTCCTCGTCCTCCTCCTCCTCCTCCTCGCCCGCCCCGTTTCCTTACAATCACCCCCACCCTGTCGCACCCCCAGACGTGTCGGTAGGGCGAGCCGGGTGTTTCGCCTAGGACTTCCTCACCATTTAGGACCCTGAGGCTTGAAATCTGCAACAGGTCAACGGCTGAAGGGCGGGCCCTTTTCAAGATGTGGTTCTCGCTTCAGCGCCGCGCACAGACGTCTTGAACATTGCAACATATTCACGGACGGAGGGCGTTCTTCTTTCTAAATGAATAAACATATAGACATGTGTGTTCTCGCTTTAGCGCCGCGCACATTCGTCGTGAAAGTTTGCAGCAGCTCCCCGGATGGAGGGTGGGTGGTTTACAACATGTGGTTCTCGCTTTAGCGCCGTTCACATTCGTCGTGAAAGTTTGCAGCTGAGTGGTTCCTTTTAGAAATGCGGTTCTCGCCTCAGCGCCGTGCGCATTCGTGTTGACAGTTCGCAGCAGTTTCATGGATCCGTCTGGTCGAAGTCCCAGCAACAGTGTCTTGGTACGATGTGGGGACGCAGCAGTCACTTTGATCTGCAGTGCCAAAGCCCCAGGAATGGATTTCTGATACGATTTAGGATTGCCAGGACGCAGAAGCCACGCTGATCCGCGGCGATGAAATCCCAGGAGCGGTGTGATGGCACGGTTGATTATCCGACGGTTGTCTTCTAATGGGCCACTTCCCGCAATGGGAGTCAATTCTTTTAGGAGCCTATGAAGATGGATCTTGGAGAGAGGGAGGGTTTATTGTAACATCGTTGCCTCCTCCTCCTCCTCATTGTGATCCTGGCTCGCTCGGCGCCGATGGTCCGAGCCGTTTCGGCTCTGCACCCCTCCCGCCCGCGCGCCCCTTCTGTGGTGCCATGGCGGACGCCTGGAGCTCGGCAGCGCCAGCAGCGGGAGCGGGAGGAGGAGGAGGAGGAGGAGGAGGAGGAGGAGGAGGAGGAGGTGGAGGAGGAGGAGGAGGAGGGGGAGGAGGAGGAGGAGGAGGAGGACGGAGGAGAGGAGGAGGAGGAGGAGGAGGAGGAGGAGGAGCGGGGGAGGCGCCCGCGGAGGGGCACGGGTCCAGGAGAAGAAACGGGCCACCGACGACGGCGACGACGACGACGACGGCGACGGCGACGGCGACGGCGACGGCGACGGCGGCGACGGCGGCGACGGCGACGGCGACGGCGACGGCGACGGCGATCGCGACGGCGACGGCGACGGCGACGGCGACCGCGACGGCGACGGAGACGGCGACCGGCCACGACGACCGGCAGAGCTGGCAGCGGGAGCCGGGGGAGGGGATCGGGAGCCTCGAGACGGGGGTCAGTGCAAACAGGGGGTCAGCCAGAGCGCCGGAACTTGCAGGGTCCTGCAGGGCCAGGGCTGCACTGACCCGGGCTAGCACGCAGGACCCTGCAGGACCCTGCCGGATCCTGCAGAGCTCGACTGACCCGGGTGTGGATTGACCCGGGTCAGCAGATCCCCGTTCTGGGTTGGCCTCGCGCGCGCCCCGTTGGGGTGCACGAGGTCCAGGATTATGATGTTCCAACCTACTTAAGCCTTGATCACCAGACAGGCTTTCGAGCACCACGAGAGTGCCGAAGCTTGAGGGTTTTCACGCGTCGGGCCCTGGGAGGCGATACTCGCTCGACACCGTTTCGACACTGTTCTGGGCGCTCGAAATTATTTCTGGGATGTGGTCCTTGAGTACGATTGGAGCAGCATGCGTCCAGGAAAGAAACAGGCCACCGACGACGACGACGACGACGACGACGACGACGACGCCAGCGACAGCGACGACGACGACGACGACAGCGACGACGACGACGACTAAGGACGACGGCGAGGGCGACAAGTGACACGACGACGTCGACGGACGAACAAACGCAGCAACGCGAACAACGACGCCGACGACGGCAGCCGCCCGCGCGGGAGTGGGAGCGGCGGTGCGCATGTAACGCGGAGGGAGGGGGGGGGATAGAGGATGAGACGGAGACAGGAGGTCGAGAAATTCGAGGCTCGGAGTTCGGGTTCCAGGTTTTCGGGCGTTCTCGCCGGCCCTCGGCGGTTCTCCAGCCTCGGGAGGCGTTCCGACGGCTGCGCCTCGCCGAGAGCTTCTTTGGGTCGTCCCGAACAGCCACGGGAGAGCCGAGTTGTGGTCCAAAAACCACCAGGCGCCTTCAGGGGCAACGTTAGGGGGGGATAGGCCAAGGGGGGAACGCGCTGTCGATCCCCAACCGCCCTTTCATCGTCGATAGGGGCCTGATGGCCCCTCCCCGCCCAAGAACATGCGGATTCGCCATCGGAGGCCTGTCGCCGGTCTGATTATCGGCGATGTATCGCCGATTCTGGCTGGACGTTTCTCACCCCGAGCCATTCCCCTCGCGTCGTTCCTCCCCAGGAGGGGAAGAGATGAGGAGGGCCCGGTTGGAGAAGGGAGCAGGAAGACGCGGGCTGGGACGGGATATCTGTTGGGAGGATTCGGATTCAGAAGCTGTAGTTCTGGATCGGAGTTGGTTTGTGCCTCTCCTGGTCCTCGTTTGCTGCAGGCGCGTTGCTGTGGTGGATCTTTGTGGCCATGTGGTGGTTCCCTGAGGGCTGCCTCCAGAGAAGCGGACATTGGAAAGGATGGTGGAGAAGGGTGGAGACGGGTTCAGGGAGGATGAGATGTAGGCAGGAGGAGGGAGGAGGGAGCAGGAACATGAGGAGGATGACAAGGGTAGAACAAGGGTGGTAGGGTGGGATGGCGGCAGGGGGTGGGAGGAGGGGATCAAGAAACGGAAGAGGATGATGATGATGATGATGATGATGATGATGATGATGATGATGATGATGATGATGATGATGATGATGATAATGACGACGATGACGACGATGATGATGATGCTGATGATGATTCAGATTATGCTGATCATGCCGATGATGCTGCTGCTGATGATGATGATGACGATGCTGATTGTGATAATGATGCTGATGCTGAGTATGATGTTGATGCTGAAGCTGATGATGATGATGATGGTGGTGGCGACTATGATGATAACGATGATCTCGTGATGATGATGATGATGATGATGATGATGATGATGAGGGTGAGGATGATGATGCTGATGCTGATGATTTGGATGCTAGACATGTTATTGTTGATGATGAAAATGACGTTGATGCTGATGCTGATGGCGACGACCATGATGATGATGACGATGATGATGATGCTGATACTTATGATGATGCTGGTGGTGATAATGATGTTGTTGATGATGATTTTGATGATGCTGATGATGCTGGTGATGCTGATGATGATGATGTTGGTGATGATGGTGACGATGATGGTGATGACGATGCTGATGATGCCGATGATGCTGATGAGGGTGCTGATAATGGTGTCTATGATGATGGTGATGGTGATGAGGATGGTGATGATTCTGGTGACTGTGATGGTGATGGTGCTGGTAATGGTGATGATGATGATGATGATGATGATGAGGATGTTGATGATGTTCATGATGATGATGATTTTGATGATGCTGATGATTCTGATGATGCTGATGACGATGATGATGATGATGCTGATATTGGTAATGATGGTGACGATGATGATGAAGATGATGATGAGGAGGAGGAGGATGCTGATACTCGTGACTATGATGATGGTGATGATGGTGATGATGGTGATGATTATGGTGATTGTGATGGTGATGGTGATGGTAATGGTGATGATGATGATTAAAATGGTCATGATGATGATGCTGATGCTGATTTTGATGATGATGATGATGATGGTGATGATGGTGGTGATGATGACGATGATGATGATGATGTCGATGATGATGATGAGGATGATGATGATGATGATGATGATGATGATGATGATGCTGATTCTGATGATGATGAGGAGGAGGAGGTGATGAGTAGGAGGAGGAGGAGGAGGAGGAGGAGGAGGAGGGGGATGATGGTCATGGTGGTGATGGTCATGATGGTCATGGTAATTGTGATGATGATGATGATGCTGATGATGATGATGATGATGATGGTGATGATGGTGACGATTATAGTGACGATGCTGATGATGCTGATGATGATTGTGATGGTGATGATGGTGTTGATGATGCTGATGCTGCTGATGATGATGATTTTTTCGATGATGATGATGATGATGATGATGATGATGATGATGATGATGATGATGATGGTGATGGTGACGGTGGTGGTGATGATGATGATGATGATGATGATGATGATGGTGGTGGTGATGATGATGATGATGACGATGATGATGATGATGATGATGATGATGATGATGATGATGATGATGAGGGTGAGGATGAGGATGAGCATGAGGATGAGGATGAGGATGAGGAGGATGAGGAGGAGTAGGAGGAAATGGAGGAGACGAGGAGGATGATGTGGAGGAGGAGGACGATGATGATGAGGAGGAGGAAGAGGAGGAGGCGAAGGAGGAGGAGGAGGAGGAGGAGGTATAGAAGATGTGTTTGGGTAGCAGCTCGGTCGGTGCCCGACCCCGCGACCAGCCTGGGCGGCTGAGGTCTCGAACCGGGACGAGGCGGAGAGGTGCAAGGAGATCGCGCGCAGCGCGCTGGCCGCTGGCGACGCCGAGAAGGCGGTGAGGGTCCTGCAGAAGGCAGTCGGGAGAGAGGGCGGCATAAAGTCGGGCCGCTGAAGAAGGAACCTTTTCTGCCTGGGAGGGGCTCCGTGTGCCTTCATTGCTGTTCAGTTTGTCTTAGGTTTTCTTTCCTTGGGCTTTCTGTGGGAAGTCGAAGCTTCACTTATGTAGAAGAGGGGCCTCGCTTCTCATTTAGGGTTCCTTGCGACAGCGTTTCGATTGTAAGCATGAAGTCCCGGTGGTCCTCGTGGAGTCCTTGGATCGGCGCAGGGCTTCTTTGCTTGGCGCGCGGAGCGCGCCAGGGGCGGCGCCGGAGGCGCCGACAGAAGAGGGCCAACGCCAATCCAAGAAACCCATGCGGACCTCCGACGTTATGTTTCTGTTGCCGCTTGTAGTTCTTTCCGTAGGCAAAGCGGATGTGCCCGAGCGATGCCTCCATCGACGGCCTGATCGCCCAGGTCCAGTCGGGTGGCTCCACCGGCTCCAGCGCAGCCGGCTGCCGCGGAGGTGCCTTCCTGCTTTTCCTGCTGCTTCTCCTGCTGCTTCTCCTGCTGCCGCTGCTGCTGCTGCTGCTGCTGCTGCTGCTGCTCATGATGATCCACCGTGCTGATCCTCCTCCGCCTGCCTTTTTGCTTACCTGCTGATCCTCCCCCGCCTGCTGCTCCTCCTCCCCGTCCTCCTCCTCCTCCTCCTCCTTCTCCTTCGCCTCATATTTCCTTCTCCTTCTCCTTCCTCCTTCTCCTCCTTCTCCCTCCACTCTTCTGTAGCCATTTTGGCTTAGGCCATTTTGGCTCAAGATGCCTTCGTCCCCCAAGCAGAGAACAGATACCTCTCACCCCAGGCCAGAATAGGAGAGTTGTTGTGTGAGCTCCTGTCGGAGCGACATCCACCACGACCACCTCCGCATCAGCCCGCACGGGTAAACTTAGGTATTTCAAACTCTTGACGCTTCGCGTATCCCCACAGCCAATCCAGAAGCAGGTCGCCAGGCGAGTTGCCTTGCTCAGGGAAGTGTAGAAACATGCAGTGCAACAACCGCCTTGGAAGTATTTTCTCGGAGGTCTCTTGGAACCATCTTGGGTCTCTCTTGGGGTCCTCGCGGAGCCTTTTGAGGCATTCTTGGGGCCCTCTTGGGGCTCTTGTTGGGGTGTCTATGGGGCCCTCTTGGGGATCTTTGGGGGGGTCTGGGAGGCCTCTTGAGGCAAGTTTGGGCTCACTGTTTAAAAAGAAGGGGGTCGTAAGTTCAGCTGGGCACCCCTGGGGCTCGAGCGTGCCAGGCACCCCTGGGGCCCGAGCGTGCCAGGCACGCATCGGGAAACATGTCGGCCCCCACCATCCTTGTCGAACACCAATGCCTATCATTGTGTCTGGTGGGCCTGCGCACAGTAGGCCATACGCCACCACCCCCGCCGTCCCTGTCAAAAACCACTTGACAGTGATCGCGGGGTGGCCGCGCATCATCCAGATTTAGCCGCGAGGTGCATGTTGTATTGTTTTTGTTTGATGGAAGGTAGCCCTGCGCGCAGCAGGCAATATGCTGACACCCCCGCCGCCACAGACAAAAAACAAAACAACATGCTCGCGGGCCTCACGAACATGACTCAAGACTTTGCCCCAACTTGTATTTTGTATGTTTTTTTGACACGGATGGTGTGTGTGTGTGTGTGTGTGTGTCTGTGGGGGGCGCATCGGGTTGGCCGCGCATGCTCCAAATGTGGAGGCAGAGTGCGTTTTGTATTGTTTTTGAAAGGGATGGTGGGGGGGGGTGAGCATGGTTTCTGGTTGACAGCAGGTCGCCTGGGGGAGGGGGTGTATACTAACATGGGGCAGTGATGAGCCCCTCCCCCGAGCAGGGGAAGGAGGGATCTTGAGCAGAGAGAAGACAACACTCGTTAAACCACCTACGCCCAGAGGGCTGGTGGCATTCCTGCGCGGGCTGGTGCGCCCAGTTGCGGCATGGCGGACTCTGGTCATGATCGTGCTGCTGGCGCTGGCTGCGAGGGCTCCTCCGATGACGGACGCTCAGGCGGTCGCTTTGCGCGCTCCTCCGCCTCGGAAACTCAGCGCCGCTCGGACCGCTCTCGTGCCTCCGAGCGCCGCAGGGCCATGGAGAGGGCGAATGAAGCCGAACGTCGACACGCAGCTGCCTCTGTGCATTTTAGAGCCACTCGAGGAGGAGGAGGAGGAGGAGGAGGAGGAGGAGGAGGAGGAGGAGGAGGAGGAGGATGAGGAAGGAGGAGATGAGGTTAGTAGAGGAGGAGTTAGGAGGTAAATAGGGGGAGGAGGAGGAGGGAAGGAGAGGGTGAGAGGAGGAAGGAGGAGGAGAGAGCCTGTAGATGCTTGCTGGTCGAGAGGGCTGTCGTCGGGGCGCTCCTCACCGTGTCTCGCGGTTCTCCCGAACTGAGCCAGAGATGCGCCAATGGGCGGCCGACGCGGCCTTGGAGATGGAGCGCGACGGCGTGGACTTGGTCATCACCTTCCCCTCGCGGCCGACTCGTGGCAAGGTCGACTTCACGCCCTGCCCCCTCGCCGCGGTCAGGAAGCAAGGGCGCCCCGCCACGGCCGGCTGACCCCCCTTGGACCCGCGGCTGTCGCAGGGAGAGATCTGCCTTGACAGGTTCGGCATCGACGACGTAGGCTGGGCCCTCTCACCCCCGCCGATGGAGCCCGCCGTCGCTCTTGCGCTTCGGATGGCTCGCCGCGCCATGCCTGGGCCAGATGGGCTCGGGTCGACAGCGCGACTTGCTTCCAGGGTGGGCACGGGAGCCCTGGCTCTTGCGATGCGCTGGCAGATGGCTGGGCCCCCCGCGTGCAGATGCTGGGGCCACAGCGCTGCGGTCCTGCCAGCCGACCCCAAAAGGTCGCTGTACCTGATGGGGGGCGACAGCAGCATCGGCGCCCATTCTGGTCTGCCAGCCGACCCCAAAAGGGCGCCGTGCCTTGTGGTGAGCGACGGCAGCGTCGGCGCCTTTTCTGGTTCGCCAGCCGACCCCAACAGGGCGCCGGGGCTCGGCGCGGACCGCCGCCCCGATGCTCATGTCCCTTGACTTCGGCCAGGCCCTCCCGAGTGTCGAGCATGCCTGCATCTTCCTTCCCCTCCAGAAGATGAGGGCCCCGCTCGGCCTTCAGGCGGCCCCGCGGGGCAACTTCGAGGGGGCGCAGCGCTTCGCCGCCGCTCAGCCCGGGCATCTTGCAGGGCGACCCCGTCGGCGGCGCGCTGCGCGTCGTGGCAGCTCACCTCTCTGGCCGTGACATGGAGACCCACGTTGGCCCGATGGGCCGAGGCCGCGCGGGACTGCGCGCTGATAATCTTGGACCTGGAATGCTGGATCCTCCGCCTCCGCCTCCGCCTCCGCCTCCTCCTCCTCCTCCTCCTCCTCTGCGCCATCGCCCGTGCCTTCAACATATGGCGAAGGCGCTGGCAGGCCTGCAGATCAAAGCAGCCGGGTGCTTCGCCATCCCCTTCGGGGAACCTTTCGCCGAGCTCCAGGCGCAGCAGGCGTGGCTCCCCCTCTCGAGGGCGCGCGAGCGGACTGGCGCGACTTCCGTATCTGCGAAGTCCTCGAGTATCTTGGCGAGCCGCTGGGCCCCGGGGCGGAGCCGGCGGCCCCGTGGCAGGCGCCGCTCACCAAGCTCCGGGAGCGCGCGGGGGAAGGGGCTTGCTCGCAGGCGGACGCCCGTGCTGCTGCCCTCCTGCGCGCCGAGCGCTGCAGCGCAGTCCTGAGCTACAAGGCCCAGCTGCTCGAGCCGCCGATGGAGCTCAGGGAGATCGAGCGCTCCCTGCTGCCGGAGCTCCTCTGGCTCCCCGGCTTATTCCTGGGGGGGCTGCAAGTGGCGCCGGCCCCCTGGGGTGGGCGGGCCCGTGGGTCCGCTCAGCCCCGACGCGTGCCAGGCTTGCCTCCTCCGCGCGGCTTCGACGACTGTCTCGTGCTGGAGCTTCAGGCAGGGCTGGACCTAGGCGGTGTTTTGGCGATTTAGTGGGCCGTTTTCGTTTCGACCTCGTTTTGCGGCAGAGACGTGTTGAAGACAAAACGAGGGAAAACGATAGCAAAACGAAAATGAAAAAGACCGTTTAGGTGAAGCCCTGGTTTCAAGGCCACGGCCCTGCGTAGTACTGCCCGCAGGGCACCTCCCCATGGTCAGTTTGCTCGGCGGCCTGCCGTGGCCTCCATGGTGGTGCTCCGAGGCGATTGCCGTCGCCCTCGAGCGAGCGGTCGGAGCTGGTGACTCCAACCCGCGGGAGCGGGCAGTTCGTGGCTTCCGAGACGTGCAGCGTGCTGGTGATCGCGGTGGGCCTCCTCCTCCTCCTCCTCCTCCTCCTCCTCCTCCTACTTCTCGTCCCTCTTTTCTCCTCCTTCCTGGTCCTGCCTCCTCCCTCCTCCCTCCTCCCTCCTTCCTCCTGCTTCCTGCCTCCTCCCTTCTCCCTCAGCCATTCCGCGCCCGAGCGGCCCCCCCCCTGCACAGGGCACGCAAGGGCGTTCCGCGGGCAAGCTTCGAAATGGCCCTGCTCGCGAGAGCTGACACCAAGGAGCGTGACGTTACACGTCGGATGCTACAAGGCTGAGACCAGGCGCGTGCGCACCCGCCAGGAGGCATGGTACCCTCCGTCACCCCCCTTCTCCCGCCCCTCCTTCACCTCTCGGCGGGCCGTGGCGCCAGGTGCGGCGCCGCTGCCGCAGGGCAGGCGCGTATGGGGAAGCCGGAGCAGCACATCAGCAGCTACAATGTTGGGAGTGGTGCGTGCGAAGGCAGGCGGGCAGGGGCCAGCCAATGTTTTTTTTTTTTTTTTTTTTTTTTTTTTTTTTTTTTTTTTTTTTTTTTTTTTAAAAAAAAAAACACCAGAACCTTGAATCCCCCCTCACAGAAAACAGCAGCGTAATCAGCTACAGTGCTGGGAGATGTCCGTGCGTGGTAGCAGACGTGCAGGAAACCGCCAAGATCGGATGTGTCATCGGCGACAAGGCTGGGAACGGCTCGTGTGAGAAAGCAGGCAGTGCAGGGACTGCACACGTGAGATTGCAAGAGAGAGCCGGCAGTGCAGTGGCATCAGCGCTTGCCGCTGCCCAGCGGCCACGCAGGTGCCACATCGTCAGCCACACTGCAGCGGGGGTCAGCCTGTGCGAGAAGGCGGGCAGTGGAAGCAGCTGTTGTCGGTGCCAAATGGCCATGCAGGAGCATAATCTCCAGCTACATGGGCCAGCTCGCGCGAGAAGACAGGCAGTGGCAGCAGTGGTTGTCGGATTGCAGCGAGGGTCAACTCGTGCGAGACGGCAAGCAGTGGCAGCAGCGTCTGTCGGGGCGAGGAGGCAGGCAGTGACTCCAGCAGTTGTCGGTGCCAAATGGCCACGCAAGGACACTCCATCAGCTACAAGGCTGCTCGGGTCGGCTCGCGCGAGGGAGCAGCGGCAGCAGGGACTGGCAGTGCGGGAAGGCAGACAGTGGCAGCAGTGTCTGCCTGTCGGTGCGAGTACGCAGGCAGTGGCAGCACCGGTTATCGGTGCCCGCTTGCGCAGCGAGAACACCTCATCAGCTACAATGCTGTTGGGATCAGCTTGTGCAAGAATGCCGGCCGTCATCAGCTACAACGCTGGGATCCGCTCGTGCGCAAACGGCAGTGGGCGCAGGGTGTGCACAGCGGATTCTCGCACTGCGAGGATGCGGCAAGTGCAGGAGCGAACGCCATCAGGTTCCAAGGCTGGGAGCAGCTCGTGCGCGCGGATAGGCAGCGGCAGCGGGAGTTGGGTGGCAGCGGGGTTGGCACGGCGTGCGGAAGGAAGCGCACGTGCAAAAGCCGTCCGCTACGGTGCTGGGATCCGCTCGTGCGGCGCGGCAGGTTTTCCCACGGAAGGCAGCAAGCAGCGGCGTGCGCCCGGGCGCGCAGCAGGCCGCCGCAGAGGGCTACGCTGTGGAAGGACGTGGTTCGGCAGATGGGTCAACCACCTGGGGAGGCTCATCCCCTCCGTCGTCGCTCGTCGTCACCACGGCTTGGCCCTCGCTGCCACGTGGGAGCAGCGGCAGGGGGAAGGGGTAGCTGGTCTGCGCGCCACCGGCCACAATTTTGGAGGTCAAACCTGGTCGACGGGGACAGGCATGGGGGGGAGGGGTGGTCTATTCCGCCGTTGTTGTTTGTGATACGGATATCTGGAAGTCTGGCCCGTAGAATCCCGTAGGATCCCACGTCCCTCCTCCCTCGTTTGTCCCTCCTCCCCCGCCTCCCTCCTCCCTCCCCCCCTCCTCTCTCATTCTCTTCGTGCTCCTTATGCTACCTCTCCTCCTCTTGCTTCTCCTGTTCCTCCTCCTGCTCTCATTATCATGTTTTTTTATTACTACTACTACTATTATTATTCTTAGTATTCTTATTAGTATTGTTATTCTTCTTCTTCTTATTATTATTATTTATGATTATTACTATTATTATTACTATTATTATTATTACTATTCTTCTTCTTATTCTTCTTCTTCTTCTTCTTCTTCTTCTTCTTCTTATTATTATTATTATTAAATTATTACCATTAATAACAATCATATTAGTATTAGTATCCGTATTATTATTATTATGATTCCTCCTCCTCCTCCTCTTCTTCCTCCTCCTCCTCCTCTTCCTCCTCCTCCTCTCACTCTTCCTCCTCCCTCCTCACTTCTTCCTCCCCCGGCAGCGGCGCAGGCGACGCCCACGGCGCAGCCGCACCCGAGGGGATGCGGCAGCGCCCTGGGGCTGCCGGTGCAGCTAGCGCCGTTCGCTCTGGGAAGGACTGTGCCTCCTGCGCCGTCCTTCCTCCTCCTCCCTCCTCCTCTTCCTTCTCCTCGTCCTCCCTCCTTCTCCTCGTCGTCGTCGTCCTCCTCCTCCTTCTCCTGCTCCCTCCTCCTTGTTCTCCTCGTCCTCTCTCATCCTCCTCATGCTCCTCATGCTCCTTCTCCTTCTCCTGCTTCGCTTGCTCCTCCTCCTCCTCCTCCTCCTCCTCCCGCTCTCTGCTTCTCCTCCTCCTCCTCCTCCTCCTCCTCCCTCCTCCTCCTCCTCCTCCTCCTCCTCCTCCCTCCTCCCGCCGAGTCTTTTTTCCATGCAGAGAACTCACCGTCGTACCCCCGGACGTGTCGGCAAAGCGGGCCCGGCGTTTCGCCAGAGACTTTCGCACAAGTTTACATCATTTCGACGGATGGGGGGCGCCTCCTTGTCAAAATGGTGCTCCCGTCCCAGCGTCGCGCACGTCCGCGCAAAAGTGCTGAGGGCCATACTTTCCGGTCTCGAGTTGCAGCCATCCTCTTGGTAATTTTGCCGCGCCGTGCGTTGCACGGTGCTCCCGCTCCCGGAGCGTCCGTCATGCTGGCTCTCGCTCGCATTGCAGCCCTGAACAGTTCCTCCCTCCCTCCCCGCCTCGGCATTCGACGAAGAAGCTTTCGGAGGTCCGCGCGGGTTTCTTGGGTCGGCGCTGGGACTCCCCCCCTCCGTGGCGCCCTCCAGCGCCGACCCAGGAAACCCGGGCGGAGCTCCGAGAGTTTGTGTGCTGGGCTTCTCTGTTCCTCCTTATGACATCCTCCTGCCCCTCCCTCGTCCTCAGAAGGACCGCTCGAAATCTGGTCTCCAGTGGGAAACGGACAGCACGGGGCCCAACATGAGGCGCCCTGCTTGCGCCCCCCTCCTTGCCTTTCCCTCTCTGCGAGCCGCGCGCACCCGCGCTCCAAGCTCGTGGCTCGTGGCTCTGTCAGGAGTTCTTCCTCCCGTTCACACCCTCCTGCCCCTCCATCCTCCTCCTCCTCGTCCTCCTCGTCCTCCTCCTTCTCCTCCTCCTCCTGGTTCCTTCCTCCTCCTCCTCCTCCTCCTCCTCCTCCTCCTCCTCCTCCCTCCTCCTCTTCTCCTCCTTTCTCCCCCCTCCTCGTTTTTCTCCTCCTCCCCCTCCTCCTCCTCCTCCTCCTCCTCCTCCTCCTCCTCCTCCTCCTCCTCCTCCTCCTCCACCTCCTCCTCCTCCTCCTCCTCCTCCTCCTCCTCCTACCTGCCTTTCTCCTCGCGGCAGCCGCCGCCGCAATTCAGTTGCCGCGGGGGAGGATGACCTCCCAGGCCGAGTTGGCCCCTCAGGTACGCTTGTCTCCTCCCTTTCCTTCTGGGGCCGGCCACGGCATATTCATAGTACGGCACGGCTTCGCGCCCGCGGTTGTGCTCTCGTGAAAAATATAGGTACGCTCGTCTCGTCATCGGCGTCGATCCGCCTCCTTCCTCAGCCCTCGGCAGGACGGTGCCTACACGGCCGACCAGGCGCGCCTCGTTCAGCGAATCTTGCGGACGAAGGACTATCCTGCCGCCTGCGGCAGCCCTCGCCGCTTCGCCAGGGCAGCGCTGGCATGCAGGACGGGTCTCCAGCGAGGCGGAGCGCTCCACAAAGCCAGAGGAGGGCCAGTTGAGACATCTGCAGCTGGGCGTCGGGGAGCCTCGTCGTCGCCACGGCTGGCCACAGCTCGGGGGGTGCGTTCCCCAACGTGCGACAGGAGGCGGAGGAGGAGGATGAGGCGGAGAGGAGGGTGGAGGGAAGAACGTCGCAATATACTATCAGCACTTCCCTGGCTTGGCGTTTAGAAGTAGCTGTCCGCTGCGGATCCTCGCTTACATGCTCCTTCTACTCGTCCTGCGCACGCAGGCGCTGTGGGTGCACCACCGCTGCGTTGCACGCGGGTGCAGTGGTGTGCGCAGGCGCCGCGGCGTGCGCAGGCGCTGCGGTGCACGCAAGCACTGGTGTACAGAGGCGTTGTGTTGCACATGATTGCTGCGGCGTGCACACTCGGTGTACACAGTCGCTGTGGTGTACACTGACGCTGTGGCGCACGCGAGCACTGGCGTACACAGGCGCTGCGTTGCACACGGCTGTTGCGGTGTACGCAGGCGTTGTGGTGCACGCGCGCGCTGTGGCGCACGCGAGCACTGTGGTGTACACGGTGTACATAGGCGCTGTGTCAGGCGCTGTGGTGTACACGCGCGCTGTGGTGCACGCGAGCACTGTGGTGTGCACAGGCGCTGTGGTGCAGATGGCGATGTACGTGCTGTTCCTACTTGGCCTCGGTCATCCCTAGGCATTCCCGGACGCCGCCGGCGCGGAACGTGACGTCATCTGGCGGGGTGGGGGCGCCGATGACGGCCGCTGTCCGGGAACAAAAAAACAGTCTCTTGCGGAGCCATCAGAGATTTCAGATTTCCCGCTGGTAACTTTGAAATCGGCGGAGATTGCAGGGACTCCCCCTGGAGCTTCGTGTGAAGCCTCCCGCCGAATTTGCGGACTCGCCGCCAGGGCGATCACGGAACCGATTGCGGATCCGTGGGCCGCTCTTCGAGCTTGTGGAACCCCTGGGTGCGCCCTGCGCGGTCTGTGGCTCCTCTTGTGGCCGGAGCCCCGTCTGCTTTTTTTTTTTGCAGTGGCACCCCCCCGGCGGGTTTGTGGGCACCCCCTCTGCGGGTTTGTGGGCACCCCCTCTGCGGGTTTGCGGACACCCCCTCTGCGGGTTTGTGGGCACCCCCCTGCGGGTTTGTGGACGCCCCTCCGGCGCTCGCGGGGGGAGGGCCGCGCGCGCCGCCACCGCGCGGAGGCGTTTCGAGCACGGCCGCCCGCGCAGATCGGCGCGCTGCGCCGCCGGCTCGCGTGTCTGTTGCGCAAGGTTACGTCGGGCCTGTCCCCCGACAGGCGGGTCTCGTGCGAAAACTTGCAAACATACCCCAAGCATGCCCCCCAAAATGCCCCCCAAGAGTGCTCAGACGTAGTCAAAAAACAGAGTCCCCTGATTGTTTTTCGGCTATTCTTGAGTTTTCCCCCTGTAGAGGGACAGGCCCGACCTGAGCGTAAGGTCGCCATCCCGTCGCGCGATGGGTTCGCATCTCCTCCGGCCCCCAGGCCGCCGGGGCCGCGCGCCTGCGCAGGCTCGTGCCAAGCAGCAGGCCGCCCCCGCGCGCCGAGGGCGCGGCGGCGGGCTACGAGGTCCTGGAGGTCGACCGGGGCGCCAGCGAGGACGCCGTCAAGAGGGCCTACAAGAAGCTCGCCCTGAAGGCTGCGTCTGCGCGGCGGCGACGACGACGACGACGAGGAGGACAAGGAGGAGGACGAGGAGGGGGACGAGGACGAGGACGAGGACGAGGACGAGGACGAGGACGAGGAGGACGACGACGACGACGACGACGAGGACGAGGACGAGGACGACGACGACGACGACGACGACGACGACGACGACGACGACGACGACGACGACGACGACGACGACGACGACGCCGCGGGGGCCCTGCACGAGCTCAGGTCGACTTCGCGCAATTCCACGTCGAGCGAGGGGGGGTGAGCGAGCGTGAAGTCGGGCCTGTCCCTCTACAGGAGGAATGTTCAAAATAGCCCCCAAAAAATACGGGGACGATTGTGTCGACTATTTTTGAGCATTTGGGGTGTGTGTTTTTTAGTCCAAATCCGCCTGTAGGGGGACACGCCCGACTTTGAAGCAAGCGGAGGCCTTCTCAGAAGGCGGCGGGGCTTCAGAAGCCCTCCGGCCTTCTGAGATGTTTTCGGCGCCCTCGGGGAAGGCTGCGGGACACTGACTCCAGAAGGCCCGAGGCCTTCCGAGCCTGTTGGCAGGGCCCGCCCCTCCTCCCCCGCCCGCCCGTCCGGCGGTGGCTCGCCGTGTTCCCGCGGTGTCCCGCGGTGTCCCGTGGTGTCCCGTGGCGTCCCGTTGAGTGCTGTCGATAGCGTGATCGATAGTGATATCGATCGTGAGAGCGGTCGTGAGATCGATCGCGAGACCGATGCTGAGATCGATGGGGTGCCCCGAGGTGTCCCGTGGTGTCCCAAACAGTGAGATCGACAGTGAGATCGATGGTGAGATCGACAGGTGTCCCGCTTTCCCCGGGTGCGCCGCTGGTCCCTGTTTTCGCGGCGCGGCGCTCCTCGTATCAGGCTGTTGTGCTCCCCTGCTGCATCTCCTCCTCGCATCTCCTTCCTCGTTCCCTGCTCCCCCCGCTCTCCTCCTCCCCCTTGCTTCTCCTCCCCTGCTTTTCCTCCCCTCCTCATCCTCCTCTCCTCCTCCTTTCCTCCTCCTTTCCTCCTCCTTTCCTCCTCCTCCTCCTTCTCCTCCTCCTCCTCCTCCTCTTGCCCGCCTCGTTCGCCGTATTTGGAGCTTTTGCCGACGACGTAGGCCTATCGGCCGGGGATATCGTTGCGAGCCTCACCAGATCCCTGGGGATATTGGCCTTGGCTGGCGCCGGGCTCGGCCTCGCCGTCAGTGAAGGAAAGACCGTTGCTGCTCTCCTCGGTGAGCTCTTCCCCGAAGCCTTCGGTCCGGAGATGGCGCGGAATGGGTACCCCGATTTGGCCGTTGTGATCTCTTCGAATGGCCGTTACCTTTAAGTCGGGCCTGTCCCTCTGCAGGGGGAATGTTCAAACATAGTCAAAAAAATAGTCTGGGGACTATTTTTTGAGTATTTTTTGACCATGTTGGAATATTTGTTGCGTATTTTCTATTTTCCGTCGAAAATCCCCCTGTAGGGGGACATGCCCGACTTAACGTTACCTTGGGGTGTTCCTCGGGTGCGGGTGTCGGTCCGAGACTTGGCGTGCCCCCCTGACCAAGTACCGACCCCGCGTGCAGCGGGTGCGGGTGCGCGCGCTTGGCCCAGGGCTGCAGAAAGCGCTCGGCCATGACGGCATGTCAGCCCTGTCGGCGTTGACGCATGCCTCCCAGTTCTGCCCTCTGAGTCCCGTGGTGGTTCGGGCCGGACGAGAGGGGGGGATAGAGAAAGGGGGGGGTACGAAATCTGCTGCATGCAGCTGGTTTCGGCCCCACCGAGGGGCCCATTCCTCGAGACATGGCCGCCTCTGGCGCCAGGAGGCGCCGGGAAAATCATCTACGCGAGCTGATTCTCAAGACCCCCCTTTGCTATCCCCCCCTTTCGCCCAGCCCCAGTGTTGCGCATCGAGCGCGAGGCGTTGCAGCGTGTCGCGTGCGCACCCCGGGACGCCATACCCCCCTCCCTCCTCTGCTCCCTGCGCTCCCTTGGCTTTCCTATCCAAGCACGGTCTGTAGGGCACGCTGGCCGGGCTGCCATGTTTAGAGCCGCTAGTCGTTCCAAAGCCTTCCAGGATAGCATGGCTCTGTTCGCTGACTCTGAAGATGATTGGGAATGCGTGGTGGCTTGGAGGAGCCATCCCCCGTGGAAGCACTCTCTTTCCCGGGGAATGGTTGACAACTACGCGAGTCTGACCACCCTCCCCGCGCTTCCCTCCGAGAGCAGGCATTTGCAGCACCAAGTTGAACAGTATCTCGTCTCTCCTGCACACGACCCGCGCGGGGAGATTTTGATGAGACAGGCGGAGCGCTTCCGTGGAGCCGTGCCGCTACTAACCGGCGAGGAAGGCATTCTCGTCAGCACCATTTTTGGCCGCATTGTTCCTCACCTCCCTCTCTGCTCTCGTTCCTCCTTCCTGCGGACTCTCACGAACTCCTGGTGCCCTTCTGGGCGATTTGGGTCAGCCAATTCGTGCACTGCTTGTCGAACTCCCAGGCGTGACCACATTCGGCATATCATAGAGTGCCCTCTGTTTATCGCGATTGCGATCGCTTTTCCCCATCTCCTCAGTGATTTTTTTTTCATCGGGGATGGCACTTCAAGACTGTGCTACTGGCGCCCGCTCCCTCTGCCCGTGGAGGTCCTCTCGTCCGTTGCACGATATCGCGTGTAAGGCCTGTCACGACATCCGACATACGACTCCTCTTTCTCGTCGTCGTCCTCCTCCTCCTCCTCCTCCTGCTCCTCCTGCTCCTCCTGCTGCGCCTCCTCCTCCTCCTCCTCCTCCTCCTTTTCTTCCTGCTCCTCCTCCTCCTCCTCCTCCACCTCCCCCCCTCTCCCCGTGCTTCTCTTCTCTTGCTTCTCCTGCTCCTCCAGCTCCTCCTCCTCCTCCTCCTCCTTTTCCTCCTCCTCCTCCGTTTCCTCCGTCGCCTCTTCCTCCTCGTCGTCGTCCTCCTCCTCCTCCTCCTCCTCCTCCTGTCCTCCTCCTCCTGCTCCTCCTCCTCCTGCTCCTCCTCCTCTCCTCCTCCCTCCTCCTCCTCCTCCTCCTCCTCCTCCTCCTCTCCTCTCCTCCTCCCCCCTCCTCCTCCTCCCTCCTCCTCCTCCTCCTCCTCCTCCTCCTCCTCCTCCTCCTCCTCCCTCCTTCTTCTCCTCCTCTCCTCCTCCTCCTCCTCCTCCTCTCTCCTCCTCCTCCTCCTCCTCCTCCTCCCCCCTCCTCCTCCTTGTCCTCCTTGTCCTTCTCCTCCTCCTCCTTCTTCTTCTCCCCGTCCCACCTGCTCCTACTCCTCCCATCGTGCTCAGCCCAGCCTGTGCCCGATGGAATGCCCTCACTGATCAGACGCCGCTGGTCCTGTTTCCTTTTCCGCCCGTGCTGGCTCAGCGCAGTCATCACCTTCGAGCCTGGCCGGGAGCGATGCCACTCATCAGGAGGATGCTGCACGGTCGAGCAGGGCACCCAGTGTCTTTCTGTACCCGAGCCAGTAAAAAACAATTCGCGCCGAAGCTCCACCCCGACAAGAACAGCGCTCCGGGCGCCGAGGAGGCCTTCAAGAAGCTGTCCAAGGTGGTGCAGTGCCTCACGGATGCCGAAAAGAGGGAGATGTACGGGAGATATGGGGACGAGGACCTCGAAAAACAAGCACCGGCATCGTAACCAATGTTCGGACGTTCGCGCGCATATCTTGTTGTTGTTGTTGTTGCTGCTGCTGTTGTTGTTGCTGTTGAACATTATTAATTCTAAAGAATAATTATTGTTGGGACCCCTGGTGCACGGCCCCCCTGCGCCGCCTAGGCCGCAGCTACATTTTCATCATTTTCGTGAGGAAGCCTCAGGTAATTCGATGTGATCAAGATCCGGTTGTTTTGTTCCCCCCCGCTTTCCCTTGCAAAAAACACTATAAAATGACATTTCTTGTTCTAATATAATCAAATTTCAAGAATCCCTTGCAAAAAATAAGGTAAAGTGGACATTCGCGCGCGCAAGACGAAATCCTTCCAAAAGCTTAGTGTTCGGAGCGATTTTAACATAAAAACATCAAAAAACCAATGGTTTTTCAACAAAAAAATGTCAAAATCTCATCCCGCGCGCTCTTGCGGATTCGTAGGAAACCCAACACTTTTTAAACATTTCTGTCAAACGGGCTTTTGCGAGCAACTTTTTCGAACTTCTGCGACAACGGTTGCGCACCTGCCAGGGCCATCATCCCTGTCAAATAATACCATGCGGGACACATTCGTTTTTTCTTCGCGCGCGCACGCCGAAATCTCCAAAAACCATTTGTCCTGCTCCTCCTCCTCCTCCGGCGGGGGGCGTGAGGATCTGGCATCGCTCACAACCATCGGGACAACCATCGGGACAACCATCGGAACAACCATCGGGACAACCATCGGGACAATCATCGGGACAGTCATCGGGACAACGATCGGGACAAGCACAACCATCAGGACAACCATCGGGACAATCATCGGGACAACGATCGGGACAACCACAACCATCAGGACAACCATCGGGACAACCATCGAGACAACCATCGGGACAACCATATCCTCTCTCTCTTGTGTATTCCCACATCCCTCAGGAATTTGCCCTAAAGATGTGATCAACTATCTTGTGAGTACGTATCATGTGTATCATGTGTATCATGTACCATATGCATCATATGCAACAGATGTTCTGTGGAAGGCTTAACAACTTCTGTGGGTTAACAAGGCTTAACAACTTCTGTGGGTGTACGAACGTAGGCTTAACAACTTCTGTGGGTGTGTACTCCACGCCAGTGTAGTAGCCACGGTCGTCCGCAGGCCACGAAGTGAAGTGTCCGAACGTCATAGGGCGGGAAGCTGGGTGTGGGTGGTGGCGAAGAGTCGTGTGGATATTTGGTAGAGCTTGCACTGCCCCCCCACAAAGTGGGGGTATTGGCTGGCGTCGCATGAAAACCCTGGCACTGGTGAGAACACTGAGCGTTCGGGTAAAGTGATTGCTGTTGTTGTTGCTGTTGTTGTTGTTGTGTTGTTGTTGTTGTTGTTGCTGTTGTTGTTGGGCTCTCTGCGGCGGCGCTTCTGGCGCCGCCCCTGGCGCGGCCCGCGCGCCAGGGAGGGGGGGCCGGCGCCGACCCGAGAGATCCGTGCGGACCTCTGAAGCAGGGTGTTTACGCTGGTTTTCATGCCGTAACGACGCGACGGCGACCCCAGTGCACGGGGTCAAGGTTGAACGCCACCGGCGGGATGGAGTCGGCCGATGTTGAACGAGCTGCGCCATCGGAAGGCCGCGATCGCTCGAGATCGAACGACTGACGCGGTGTCAGGAACCGTCGCGCAGGTCGTCAGGACACGGTCCCGCCGCATGCAGTTTTTTTGGCCTTACGAACAATGACATGAACATCAAAACTCGGAGGTCCGCGTGGATTTCTCGGATCGGCGCTGGAACCCACTCCCTGGCGCGCGGAGCGCGCCAGGGGCGGCGCCGGAGGTGCCGCCAGGGGGGTCCAGCGCGGATCGGAGAAATCCGCGCGGACCTCCGAGTCTTCATGTTTATCTCATTCTTCGTGCTTCTGTCTTTGGCTCTTTGTTTCGCGCAGGACAGGATTCCCCAGCAGCACCGCCGCCATTACGAACAGGACTTGGCGGCGAGCACAAGGGGGCGAGGCGAGCGGGGCTGCCTTCGAAGAAGGCGGGGGCCTTCTCGGAAGGCAGGGGGCCTTCTTCTCGAAGGGCTCGGGGGGGCTTGTCGGATGGTTTCTTCGGGGCCTGCGGGTCCTCCTCCTCCTCCTCCTCTTCCTCCTCCTCCTCCTCCGCCTCCTCCTCCTCCTCCCTGTCCCTCTCCTGCTCATCTTCCATGTCCGCCTCCCTCCTCCTCCTCCTCCTCCTCCTCCTCCTCCTCCTCCTCCTCCACCTCCTCCCTGTCCTCTTCCTCCTCCTCCTCCTCCTCCTCCTCCTCCTCCTCCTCCTCCTCGGAAGCACCCCCCGCCCCCTCAGAAGGCGGCCCCCCCGTCTGCGCCGCCCCCGTGCGCGCGCCGCCGGAGGACTTCATGGGCCCGGAGGACCTGTTCAACGCCTTCTTCGGCGGCGGCTTGGCCCCGCAGCGGCGCGGGGGGCAAGCCGGCGGGCAGGGCGGCGGCGGACTTCAGCAGGGCGCGCTCTTTCAGGCGTCGCGCATCTCCGTCCTTCTCTCTGCTCTTTTTCTTCTTCTTCTTCTTCTTCTTCCTCGTCCTCCTCCTCCTCCTCCTCCTGCTCGTCGTCCTCCTCCCTCCCTCCTCCTCCCTCCTCCTCCCTCCTCCTCCTCCTCCTCCTCCCTCCTCCTCCTCCTCCTCTCCTCCTCCTCCTCTCTCCTCTCCTCCTCCTCCTCCTCCCTCCTCCTCCTCCCTCTTCCTCCCTCCCCTCCTCCTCCCTCCTCCCTCCCTCCCTCCTCCTCCCTCTCCCTCCCCCCTCCTCCTCTTCCTCTGTCCTCTTCTTACCTCCTCCTCCTCCTCCTCCTCCTCCTCCTTTCTCCGCCGTTCTCGATCCTACATAATCCTCCTGTCTTTCGCTCCTCTCTCTCTCTTTCTCTTCTCCCCTCTCACAATTATATGAACACTTTTTCCCTCGCTGCCCGCGTGCCGTCTCTCCTCGCCGCCTGGTTATCCCGTGCACATTCTCTGCGCACGCAAGGTTGCCCAAGTGCGATGTTTCCCCAGACAGTGCCTGCAGTATGGGGCTCTTATTATATCTCTAAGGAGCTGGGCTGCTGTGCCAGTCCTGGCGGCTATGTAGCCGCCGTCGCCGCCGCCGCGTCGTCGCTTCGTCGCCGCCCGTCGTCCGTGCCAGTGTGCCGCTCTGGCGTCTGTGTAACCGCCGTCGCCGCCGCGTCGTGGCCCACTCGCCGCACGACTTCTGGGCCGGTTTGCCGCTATGGCGGCTACGCAGCCGCCGTCGCCGCCGCGTCGTCGCCTCGTCGCCGCCCGTCGTCTGGGCCGGTGTGCCGATCGGGCGGCTACGTTGCCGCCCGTCGTGTGGGCTGGTGTGGCGGTCTGGCGGCTATGTTGTCACCACCGCCGCCCCGTCGCCGACTCGTCGCCGGCCATCGTCGTTGCAATACATGTGGTGCATTTAGATGTGTACATATACATATCTAGATACACACACGTTTCTCTTTCTATGTATGGATGTATGTGTTTTTATATATATGTATATATATATATATATATATATGGATGTATGTGTTTTTATATATATATATATATGTATATATATATGTATGTAACACGAACTGGGTGCACAGCACACACGCACACACACACACCTATATATACATATATATATATATATATATATAATATATATATTAATATATATATATATGCACCATATACATTGTATCACGCAGATTCTACCTTCCAGATTGCACAACAATTATTGCACCACGTATGTTGCGCCACGTAGATTGCACGACATCGCTTCCGCAACACATCTATCTATCTATCTATCTATCTATCTATCTATCTATCGATCTATATATATGTATATATATATATATATATATATATATTCTCCCTTCTAACAAGAGAATAGACTCTACCCCCCCCCCAAGACTTATCGCTTCCCCCGGGGATAATATAATTTCATATATATTCTGCACACTCGTCCATCCTAAATATGAAATCGTACCATCCCAGCCAGGCCGGGTTCCCCCCCCTGTAACAAAAACACTATGCGGTGACATTTTTTGTTCTAACATAACACTTGCTCGCGAATCCCTTTGCGAAAAATGGGACGAAGTGCGCACGCGCGCGTCGTCGCGCGCGCATGCCGAAATCCCTCAAAAACCCTCGGTGCCGGAGGGATTTCGCAATCGAGTTTCCAAAACACATGCGAAAACACAGGGTTTCGCATCACTGATTTGCTAAAAAAACTTCCGCGCGAGCTCTTGCGAAATCTTAAGAAAACCATAGGTTTTTCCAGATTTTCACAACATGCTACCAACCGGGCTTCGCGCGCGCGCATGTCGAAATCTGTCGAACGCCCTTGCGCGTGTGCCGTCGCGAGAATCCTCTGCAAAAAACGAGACGAAATGCGCGTCGTCGCGGGCGTATGCCGAAAACCTTCAAAACCCATCGGTTTCGGAAGGATTTCAAAATCGTGCGTCCAAAAAACCTACAAAAACCCAAGGTTTCGCAACACGGATTTTCAACAAAAGCGTGCGCGCGCGCTCTTGCGTCGTCGTCGTCGTCGTCGTCGTCCTCCCTCCTCCCGCGTCGTCGTCGTCGTCGTCGCCTACGTCGTCCTCTGTCTTTTCTCGTGTTCGTCGTCGTCGTCCTCTTTGGCGTCGTGGTCGTTTCCGTCGTCGTTGTCGCCGTGGTCGTCCTTCCTCCTCCTCCCCGTCGTCGTCGTCGTCCGTCGTCGGCGTCTCGTCGTCGTCCCTCCTATTTCGTCGCCGTCGTCGTCGTCGTTGTCGTCGTCGTCTTCCCTCCTCCCTCGTCGTTGTCGTCGTCGGCGTCGCCGTCCTTCCTCCTTCGTCGTCGTTCGCGTCGTCGCCGTCCTCCCACCTCCTTCGTCATTGTCGTCGTTGTCGTCGTTGTCGCCGTCGTCGTCCTTCCTCCTCCCTCGTCGTCGCCTTCGTTGGCGTCGTCGTCGTCGTCTTCGTCGTCGTCGGCGTCGGCGTCGTTGTCGTCGTCGAAGTCGTCGGAGACGTCATCGGTGTCGTCCTAATCGTTGTCGTCGGTGTCGTCGTAGTCGGTCTTAACAGGTTTTGCAAACCAAATTGCGGGTGGGTGGGTGGGATGTTTGCGCGAGCACTGGAGATGACGACTTCAAGTTCAGCAGAGTGGATTGCACAGCGTAGATTGCACAGCGTATATTGCACCACGTAGTTTGCACCACATAGGTCGCACAGCATATACTGCACACAGTAGATCGCACAACATTTACCTTATCACAACTATTCTTTTGTGAGGTACAGCAATAACCCGAATTTACCTCCACCTTTTTCAGTTTTTTTGGTATGACCCCCTACGGGACAGTCCAATTTTCGTGTGTATATTTTCCACCATGCATTTCAAATATATGTTTTTGTCATCCCAGCCAAACCGGTATCGTCCCCCTGAGAAATATTTTAATGTCGCGCACTCGTTTATCAAACGTTGTCAGTTGCCAAACACATTTTGCAAAAGTAGACAACGTCCACGCGCGCGGCCTCGCGCGCGGATTCCGCCATCCATCAAACACCCATACTTTCGTACGTATTTCAAGATGGAGGTTCCCGAAAGTAGATGAAAGCCAAAACAGGGATTTCGCAATATGAATCCTCAACCCAAAAATATGCGTGCGCCCGTGCAAATACTCACGAAGACCATCGGCTCTTCAACATGTTCATTACATGCGCCCAAGCGGGCCTCTCGCGAGCACATGTCGAAATCATTCGAGCGCCCTTGCGCGCTAGCTGGGGGCACGGGTCCCGTGCAACATATGTGTTCAAGTCCACGCGCGCGCTGCGTCGCGTGCGCATGCCGAAATCATTCAGTCAAATTCACGTTTCGCGCGGATTTCAAGATCGAGTTTCCCGAAGGCATATGGAATACCAATATTTTGGCAACGCGCGCGCACTCTTACGACTTCTCAAGGAAGTCATGGGTTGTCCCACGCATTTTGATCAAGTGCGACCACGCGGGCCTCTCGCGCGCGCATGCCGAAATCATTCGAACGCCTTTGCGCGCTTGCCGGGGGGTGGGGTGGGGGGGCGGCGCGATCCCTGTCAAAGAACGTCGCCTGGGCCACTCGCGCCCGTCGGCCGCGCGCGCGTGCAAATCCTCCTAGAACCTCCATCGTCGACGCGTGGACACCATTGTCGCCATCGGCGCGGCCAGCATCGGCGCCGTCATTTGCCCCCCGTTGCCAGCGTCATCATCGTCAACAGCATCTCAGTTCTCATCGTCGCGTCTGCCGTTATCGATGCCGGCACGATGCCGCGCCCGCCCGAGTCAACGACGCTCACTGAGGCGCCCGCGCGTCGGCGCGGCCGGCGAGACGCGCTGGGAAGCCCCCGGCGGTCAGGGATGCTGCGGCCGCGGCGACGCGCCAAGCGGCGCCGAGCAGTCCTCGCCAACGCTGCCGCATTGGTTTTGCAAACCGAGTCACTGGTGGTTTGGGGGGGGCGATTTCGCGAGCAGTGGAGTCGACAATTTCGCGTTCGGAAGGGCGACTTGCGCCGCGTCTGTTGCGCGCCATATATGTGTAGTGCACCGCGTAGACTTGTGCAGTTTACATGTGATTCTGCCCCATCGTTCATGCCAGATATGATATCATGCCCTCCCTTGCCCCCGACAAATTGTAGTTTGCGCGCGCTCTAGTTTACAGGGAAAAAAAACATCAGTTTCCCACAGCCTCTTGCAACGACAAAGACAGCCCACGCGCGCGCGGCGTCGCGCGCGGACGCCGAAACCCTTTCTATAAGCCGCAGGGAAAATACGCCCGCGCTCTTGCAAACATTCCAATGGACATCATAGGTTTTCCAACGCGTTCATCAAGTGCGACCAGACGGGGGGCCACTCGCGCGGGCACGTAGAAGTCACTCGAGCGCCTTTGCGCGCTTGCTGGGTGGAGGGAGGCGGGGGGGCGCGGCCCCTGACAAATAATGCCGCGCCGGCCACTCGCGCCCGTCGGCCGCGCGCGCGTCAAATCCATCCGAAACCTTCGCCGCCGACGCGTGGATGCCGTCGTCGTCGCCGGCGCGGTCAGCATCGGCGCCGTCGTTGGCCTCGCCGTCGGTCGCCTGCGAGACGCGCTGGGAAGTCCCCAGAGGCCGGCGCCGCCGCGGCCACGTCGGTCGCACCAGACTAGCTGGCCGCTCTGCGCGCGAGCTTGCGCGCGCTAGCGCGGACGCAGCGGCGCGCCAGCCAGCGCCAGGCAGGCGTCGCTATTGCCGCTTCGTGGCCCCGGCACATCTCGCGAGCAGGCGGGTGGGATGATTGCGCGAGCGGTGGGGTTGACAACTCGCTGCAAACAGAAATTTGTTGCGCCGCATGTAGCGTCTTTTCTTCAAAGACGTTCGGGCCCCCCCGCCCCGGCCTTCGCGGCCCCGCTGGGGGCGTAAAATTCACGCGCGATTCTGCCCCATCGCCCAGTGTAGAAACGAGCTCGCGCAGTCGCAGGGGGTGCCCATATCGACCCCCCC